AAACTACGTTGTCATCCTATTTGTTCCAGACTTCGATAAATTCATCCCTCGGAGATTACCCGGTGTAGTTTCTGGGGTTGGAAAGTGTCGGCAGAAGAGGATCTGCGAGGGTTTGGCGTGTAGCGACCCGTGTCAGTAGAGGACAACTGGAGATGCTGAAGAATCCATCCAAGGCGCTACTCGACAAAGGGAATGATCCCCCTCACAAGGCGACAAGGCAGCTCGAGGACGAAACCAGTCACCTCGCACCACATCAGCAGCATGCCCCCACGTGGGCGCACGTGGTCCTGTCCCCTTAGCCTAGTATAAATACTCATGTAAACCTCACAAAGAGGGATCCGAATTCATTCTCTCTAAAACTCCCTTGTAAAAGCACCCGTGCATTCTCCGTTATAATATGAATTGGGCTACAGGTGTTCCACCTAAAGTCTTACCGGTCAATTTGCGTGTTTTTACCTTTCTTACTTTGCCAAATCGAGCGAACTATTCTAGACCCGGTCTAGTATAGTTTGACCGGTCAAGTAATTTACACCATCAATGATGACATAAGAAAATTGATAAGATTAAGCAGGGAAAGTGAAAAGAAATGGGGGAAATTTTGAGCATAAGAAAATTGATAAAAAAAATTAAGTCTTTGATAAAATATTACTCCGTATATAAAAAATACAGTACTAATTTCAATCTTAACTTACAAAATCTAATTAAAACGATCTTATTTTGAAGAAAAAACTTTCTCCATGTTCGAAAGAATGCTACATGGTGCAAAACAAAGCAAAAATTTTAAGCGTTTTAAAATTTATTTTATTTAAAGATTGGTATGAAATAAAAAAATATCTACATATTTAAAAAAATACGTCAAAAATTTTACAAAATAAGATGTTACAAGAATAATAGTTTATTTTATCAAATAATAAACGATAACGCACAAACAAATAAAATTTCCGTAATTTTTAAATAGTGAAGTGTGATATTCTTTTTGGGACGAAAGGATTATATGTTGAATTGTATGGAAATAATAGAATAACTAGATTTTATCCTAATGTCATCCAATTACAATAAATTTTATTAGTTTGAGAGTCATTGATTACTTTCAAACAAATTTACTCAATATTAATCAATAACATTAGATGTTAGTGTTAGCATTTTGAAAAGACTCTCTAGCGGCAGCATTTAGTGTTATCATTCTAAAATTTATTCTACACCATTACATTTAGGTGTAAAATTAATTATATTTGACGCTATTAAATTTAATTTTATCTAATTTCAACCAAATACACTCAAATAATTTATAAATTTTGCACTCAATTAAATGAAATTCACTTAATTTCACCCAATTTCACACAATTTTTACCAACTTGTATTCAAACGGAACATAATACTACTTGAATTTATCTTTTATATTTTCATTTATAAACATAAATATATTAGTAGATGTGAGAAAAATTTGATATATCAAAACTAAATCTTAAAATCAATTTAATTATATTAAATTTATTTCATAATTAAATATATATTTTTTCATAATTTGTAGTCCAAATTTGTAAAATATGGCTAAAAAGTCAAAAAGGGAAGATTATTTAGGGTAGGGATAATATAATTAGAAAAAATATAAAATAATATGAGGTATTGAATTGATGATAGATTGATAAATGTGATAAAATATAAAAAGAAACATGGTTAATTAAATTTTAATTAGAAAATAATGTATATCCAAAATATATTTGATCCGAAACCAAAATATATCCGATTCAAACTGTATCCAAACCGAAATCTATCCGAACTGATTTATAACTGAATCATATCTGAACCGACTCGAAACTGAACCGAACCGAAAAATGTATAGAATCAAATCAAATCCAAACTGAAATTAAACCAATCCGAACCGAACTAAACCGATTATAACATATATCCAAAAGATATCCGAACCGAAAAATCCAACCCGAAACCGATCTGGTTGACTGATTGCCAACTCAAAATCTATATACACAATTAGAGGGTGTTTGGGAGTGATTAACTTGTGGATAAGGTGATTTCGACAAATGTGGAAAGCAAAAGCACTTCATAACTGCTTCTCTAAAACGGTGTTCTATTCGTAAAATAGTGGTGGAGAAAAGTAGAAGCTGACATGCCAAACAGAGTAAAATCACTTTCCATTAAAGTAGAAGCTAAATTCTTAAAAGCAGCGTATTACCAAACACTTTCTTAACATTATACTGACAAATCACACAATTTCATTCATTTCAATTCTATAGAATTTTAATTCCAATTCCATGTAACAAACCTAGCCAACTCTAATGATTGAAGATCTTGTCGGCCAGCTTTAAGGCTTCGTTCCGTTCAACTTATTTTTTCTGATTAGATCGGATCTGATCTGATTGGATCTGATCTAATCTGATCTGATTGGATCTGATCTAGTCCGATCTGATCTGATTCAATATAATCTGATCTAATCTGATCTGATTCGATCTGATCTAATCTGATTTGATTTTAATAAGAATAAGAAAAAATAAAAAAATAAGTTGAACGGAACGGGGCCTACAGGCTTGGCTCACCAGTCGGGTTGGAACTTACTGCTGAGATAATTGATCTTAATGATTACAACACGATGGAGGAGACTCCAGTGTCAGCTTAATTATTGTCTCTGCCAATTGGCATTACTCCACTTGGGCATGAAATTGATAATGTAGATGAAAAACACGTTGAAGAACTTTATGACAAGTGAGCATGGAAGAGAAAATTGACTTCCTATACCGGACAACAAAAGAACTTAAAACATCTGAGGTTTTTTTTGTATTTATCTTTCTCCACTTTTCTTAGATTTACAAATTTTTAGGTTTGGAGTTTGATGGAATAAAGAAAAATGACTCTTTAAACTATTTGTGATTCTTTTAGTAGTGAAGTAGTAGTTGGTCAATGCAACTCCCGACGCTCATCACGAGTCATTGGGTATTGGGTAATAGTTGCTCTATAGTTTAAACATAGAGATAAGGCTATGTACGTGATTACCTGTGCTGGGTGGTTGAGCTAGAGGTTTCTTTGGAAACAGTTTCTCTACTTTCGAGTGGGGATAAGGCTGGTATTTGCACACCCTCCCTAGACCCTACTTTTGCGGGATTCAACTGGGATGTTGTTGTTACACAATGTTTTCCCTTTAAAGTTCTTGTACAAGTATTGACGTCTCATTTTGGTTCTTTTTTTCTTTTCAGAATGAGGCATTGACAAAGGAAAACTCAAAGCTAGCGAAGGAATTGAATTATTCTCTTGGGAAGATTGAAGTCGTGAGTTACCAAAATTTGTATTGTTAGAATGTTAGCCAACCAAACTTATCTAAACCAGTAAGTACTTTATGCTTTGAGAGTTTGAGGAATGTGTGATGAGATAACTTTATTCATTGATGTTTTCAGTATGAGAAGATGAATGATGTCATTGAAAAGCAGGTAGGAGATGATAGTTTTTACAAATTTAGGCACATACGGATTGGTTTGATGAATTGTAAATAGATTGAGATATGTACATACGTATAGATTAAGATATTCTCAATATCTATAATGTGTGAAACACATAAAAATGCATATTTATTTATCTCGAAAATAGGAGCTACCAAATATTCAGAGATTCCTTAGTTTCAAAAAAAGTTATTAGTATTGCATTTCTATCGAAAGACAATGTTTGTATTATATATTGAGGTTAAAGTATTCAAAATTGATAAGAAAAGTCAATTGAGAAGATCAAATCCAAACACAAAGGGAGTGTTATTGAAGAAATTAGAACCTACATGAAATTTTATACAATTGAGTGAGAACTAAAATTCAATTTTTTGATTAAAATTTTTATAAAATAAACTTCTAAAATAATTAAAATAATAGTATAAAGTTTTAAAATAAACTTAAAAAATAATAGTTACATTTTTCACATAAAATTTTAAAAAATTATCACGTAAAAATAATCACATGTATTTTTATCCAAACTTTGTTTCACTCGATATGAATATATTTTTAACAGCAAAAAAAAATATAGTTACAAGAATTTTCACAAAAAGTAATCACAAAATTTTTTAAAATAATCATAGATATTGCACTTTTGACTTCATTGAATTCACAACTACTACTTTAAAAAAACACAAAAAATATTTGCATGGGATATATAGAACAAAACAATATTTGGAAAAAAAACGAATCACGTGTTTTCATATGTGAATTTTATCAAAATTCTACATAGATATGAAGGTTCTATTCCGTACGTCTGATCTGATTGAATCTAATCTAAATTTTTTAAGTCCTGATCTGATATGATCTGATTGAGTATGATATGATCTGATTGAATCTGATCTGATCTAATTGGATGAGATCAGATCTGAGTGGGTCTGATTTGATCTGATTCGGTTTGATCTGATCTGATCTAATTGGATATGATCTGATCTGATTTGGTCTGATCTGATCTAATTGAACCTGATCTGATTGGATCTGATTTTATCAAATTAGATCTTGTGTAAACGAATTTAAATTTGATTTAAATTAAACTTAAAATTATTACAAAATTTAATAGTTTTAAAATATTACAATTCACACATACATAAAAAAGTAAAATAATAAAATCAGCTAATCATTGATATATTTATTTTTTTTTGAAATATTAAACACCTTTTCAATATCACTAATTTTTGAAACATAGATTCTTTTTTAAAAAATACATTCTATATGCATATTACATAATAATATAATTCATATTACAAATTAAATATCATATAAAATCTTAAACACTAATATTCCTTTACCTCTATCATTTTTTTCATAAACTCACCCTTGTATATATTATACCATATTAAAGTTTAAAAGTAATTCTTTTTAAGTATAACATATTTATGGTTTTGGAAACTAAGTTTTGTATAATTATTTTATAAACAAGTATTTTAAAACAACTCTTTTTAAGTATGAAAAATACGACTTTTTAATATTTAAAACTACTTCCATGCATCATTCCTACAAGCTGAGTAATTATTACGTAGTAAAAATAATGGTTTGTGGTTGAAATATAATAATAATAATAATAATAATAATAATAATAATAGTAAAAATTATATATTAATTAAAAATTTAGGCGTGTGTAGCTTTAAATAAAGTAATGTGATTTAATCAACTAATAGTAATTATTATTTCATCCTTGAAAAATATAATTACTTTTTATATTTTTTCCTGATCTGACATTCTTGGATTTGATGTGGGGAATCGGAGTCGAGGTCATCCTTATTCGAAATTTACTAGCGTGAACATGAGTGGCTAATAGAGGGACACAAAAAAATTAATGTGCCCCTAAATGCACAATTGGGATAAAATTATAACTATTATAATGGAAACCTGAATTGGAAAAAAGTTAATCCAAAAGGGTCATGTTGAAAAATTATTCTACATTTAAAGGTTGAAAATACATAAATTTTTCCACTGGACATCCATTTAACAAACATATACGGAGGAAACTGAGTAATAAATCTAACTATAAATACTACATAGATAATTAATGCTTAATAACATTGATTTTTGAAAACACCCTATTCGAAAAAACTATTTTGAGATTACTCAAAAAAATTTATAATTTATAATTAGG